GCCTCCTGCTTACTAAGGTGATAGGTTAAAGCAGTGTTTCTCAGTTATTTTCTGCCATGCCCCCCCTAGGGGACAGAAAGTTTTTTCACCTCTTTGAATCGAAATACTATTTAGCGCCTGGTAATATTTATTTATTTTACTGTACAAACCACTGTATGAGTGGCTGGCAGCAGCATGCTGCATACGACCCCCTGATTATTAAAATAAATTAATAAAATGGGCTGCAATGCTGCCATCTAGTGGTTTTCACTTTCACATACAGCCGTTTTTCCCTAAAACTATTTTTAGAGCACAGCTCATTTGGCATCGGGTTTTCATTATCAGAGGAAATCGGACCATAACGATTTTTACAGATATTACACAACTTTGCTAATATCGACTAGACATCCCTGTATTTATCGCATCTGTAGAAGTAAGTAAACGTTTCCAGAATTGTTTTTTTGTATATAAAACTGCATCACTGCTGCTGCAAAAAAGGTTCTTCTCCCTTGATGACTTGTCACCAAAGTAAATTATTGACTACCCAGGAAGTTCATCCTGGGAAATGAGACTTGTCCTTTCATTGAACTGCTATGATAACACTGACCTTAAATCCGTTCTCATTAAGCTGCTAATTAGAGTTTTTTTTTCCCGGCGACGTCGCTTATAATCAAGGCTAAATTTAATCTCTTCACTTCAAGGTTAATTTGCGCAATGTCTGAGGCAATGTACAGTTTCTTAAATGACTTCTTCTCCAATGCCCGAAATAATGATGAAAGGGGGCAGTGACTGTGCAGGGTTTCTCCATCAGGACCATTTTCCCCTTTAAATCCTGTTTAAATGATGCAGACGGGGCTCATTTTCCTCCTCCCTCCCTTAATTAGAGACTATAATGTTATAATAACAATTAATGTTCTCTCAACCCGATTTATAGCTGACTGGTGCGGTTTGTATAACAAAGTATGTATTTTTTTTTTCGTTTTATTATTTTGTACACCTATAATGTATGTTAATTGTAAGGAGCAATTTTGCTAATATACACTTGTTCATTGCAATTCTTTATTTTAATTTTGTTTGATCTATGTGTGTTTCCTACCCTGTTTCTATATATTGAAAAGTTACAAATAAAAAAAATATACATATATAAATATATATACACATATATAAATATATATATACATACATATATAAATATATATACATATATATATAAATATATTTATACATACATATATATGGAATTATAAATATAGAATTAAAACTGAGATCAGTTTCTGACTTATCTTCAAATCTATTTCATGTGAACTTAACACAAATATAAGGTTAAAAATGTTTTTTGTCACTTCTATTCCTTTTTGCTTAAGGTTACCCAAATATATTTAAACCAGAAACTTGCCACATTAGCAACATTTTTAAAATGAAGACAAAATAACAAAAGTACGTATAAAAAAAATACATATGTAGTAACAAGTGAATTATGTATAAAGGTCCATATTGTTTTTTATTTGGAGGAGCAATAAAAATGATTTATTCTTAAATGATTCGATTTGACAATAACCAATTAGGATAATTGAATATTAACTTATATATTTAATGTAAATTTTAAAGGGTATATTTCTTGTTTTTAACCGCCATCACCGAGGGTCACGCGATCATGTTGTTAAGCGGCCGAGTAACAGCACCAAGTCAGTCACTCACTTTGAATGTTCCGCGTGAAGGCTTCCTCCCAACAGTACATCTTGATGAACTTTATGCAGCTCAGGATCTCGTTCATCAGTCTCACGCGCCGGTCAGTCACTGTCACGCACTTTCTGCGGAAATACGCGGTCATCCTGGACGCCAGCATCTGTGCCGACACAGAGGGCACACAGGAAATGATGACGAGGGGGAAATAAGTGTCGAAGAAGGAAATGAAAGCAGACACAATCACATTAGACGGAGCTGCAGACTGGTGCAGGGAAGAGAGAGAGAGAGAGCAGCTGATGAATGCCTTTCACATCAGAAACGCAGTCAGTGGTCGTCAGGATTCACCTCAGACTGAGAGTGAATTAAAAAGAAAACAACAGCCAGTAATTTGACAGGAGATTGATAACCGGGCTGTTGCGACGCTTTTCAAATGTGCTGCTCTTGTTCAAAAACTCCATAAATTAATCAGTCAGTATTTGAAAATGATGCTCAGACCTAATCTTATCTGTAATAACTTTTGAGACTATTGAGTCAACAATAAAGTGCGTTAGCTAAAAGTAGATTCACACCACTAAACTTTCTTCCTTCCACAACCTTCTCCAAAGTCCAGACTCAAAACAAAAAAAAATCTTTATTTTTCCTTTTTTTATGAAATCAAGGCCAAAAGTCTTACCATAGCGGGATAGAAGACAATGAAAATGGCGGAGCCCACCACAGCGGTGGGGCCTAGGAAGTAGGTGGTGTAGGTCAAACCCAGAATGCCAACTATGGGCCCCCCGACCAGGAGACATCCCGCTGATGCAGCTTCGTACAGACGCTGACCATCACTGGAGCAGATGTTGATCAACTGAGAGAGAGAGGGGAGACGGAGGTCGATGTTACAGACGATACGCAGTGAAGGAAACGCTGTGTGATTTTATAAATGCAGTCATTTTACTCCCTTATTCGCTTGTTGGGCAGGAACAATGTCTCTAATTCTCTATAATAACAAATGTGAGACCTTTCTCTTTTCTCCCTCTGTAGGTGGAATCACACATTAATCTCCATCTCCTTCCTGTGTGTTTTGCGCAGTGGAGCAGGATTTTCTCAGCCCATTTTTCATTTACATTTCCCCCCCCCCACCTACCTCTCCAGGTCCGACGTCTTTCACGCTGCGCAGACGGAGGATTTTATTGAAGGCAAAAGTCAGAGCTGCTCCTCTGAGACGAGCCGCCGTACGATAGTTAATGGCCCACATGAAAGCCAACGACCAGGAGCGAATCAGCTCCATGAGGAAGATTCCGGCCACTAAGGCCAGACCGTAGGACAGCAAAGAATCTGCTTTCTGGGAGTACTCCAGCAACGCTCGCACCAGCAGAGCCTGGGAATAAAGGTCAGAGGACGGAAGAGAGGGACAGAAGAGAAGGTTAGAAGAATCTGAATAGAAAAAGAAGCAGAATTAAATAAAAATAAATCACCAATACTAAAATGATCCAACGGCTCTTTTTTTACATTTGGTTGAACTTTTCTGCCTCTTACACATTAAACATTTTTCACTATATCACAATACTCCATTAAACCCTTTACATTTGTTATATTTTTAAATGATGCGACAAAGTTTTTTTTTTTAAAAAAACATACTATAAGTACATTCACGTATATATTTTTGTAGTATTACAACTAGGAATGGCCTGATGCGACGCTCAGGATCGGTACGGGTCCGATATTGTTCCAAATTTTAGGATGGAACAAATGGAAAAAATGGAAAAAAAAAAAAACACTATAGCCTGTCCGATCCTATATCTCAGACGTAACTTGACACATCACGCTCTAAACAGAGACACTATGTCCTCAGCAAAGGCATGATGGAGGAGAAAACAAGGTATTGGATTGATATCTGTATCCGCAGACACGCCAAGTATTAGTATCGGACAGGAAGTAGCTGTATCGAGCCATCCCTAATTACCAAGTGTGGCATTAATATTGAAAAATGTCAAGAAAAATACGTAAAAATTAAATTTAGCTTCAAAGAGTTGGTGGACATTAATGTTCACCGTTGTCCTCACCAATATTAATCGGTCTACAGCCGCTCACAATCCAGGTCGTCAGCAGCAGAATTACTTACTGCACTGCTCTCTGTGGGGCCGGTTTGACGAAAGCCAGACGTAAGACGTCGAAGACGTCGAAGACGCTGGGCGTCAAGATAATATTTTAAGCTCAAAGTACTTCACTTAAGCAAAAGCTCCGTACTGCAGTTTTTATGCAAATAACATGCACGTGTATGGACTGTGTATTAAAGGAACAACTAGTGGACGGACGGTGGAATTACAGGACGTACAGTCTGTATCATCGAGGTACGCTGAATTTTTCATTTTGATTTTGAACTAATTAATTTTGTTAATTTTTTTGAGACTTACACCTCTGAAAACAGTTCAATATTTCTCTTTTTTTATATAATATCTAAGGTTTTTACCAAACAAGCACCACTGCTATTATCAGGTTATTATACACTAAAGTTGACTTGTTTTAAGTTCAACACATTTCAAGAGTTGTGAAATAGTGTTTAGTACCGTACGACAAATAACCGTATCTTTAAAAATGTAAATGACTTGTTTGACTCCTGAATTCCTTATAAAAAGTTGCAGCTCCGCAATAAACAATCCCAAGCAAAACTAACTGTAATTAAATATGACAGAAGAACATTAAAAAAAAAGAAAAGAAAAGAAAAGAAAAGCAAGAACACAGACAGAGGAAATGCCAGTGACAGAGATAAACAGGGAATGAGGAAATTGGACAGGCTGTGATTAAAAGACGAGACACCTGACAAATGACAAAATGCAAACGTTCATTGTTCCGTAACGCCGAGTCAGCAACACACGGACTAAAGCACAAAAGAATGTCGTTTGACAAGGTCCTCACGATATACAAGAGTTTAATCCAGTGCACGCTCTCTGGGCTTGGTACAGGGTGTGCTTGCATGTGCAGCGACTGCTAAATAAGCTGCTTACAACACACGTGTGCATCAACGGTTCCGTGTATGTTTCAGTCGTTTCTGTTATTTTCTGCAATACTTTCTTTGAGTTAACATTCAGGTAATTTATTGACCCCCCCCCCGAAGTAGCTCTGAGTTTCAAAAAGGTCTAAACTATCATTTGGGATCCCAACAGTACTCACAGGCCCCACGAAGCCCGCCACCATCGTGATGAGGAGGGAAAAGATGGCCACCAGCATCCGAGTTTGGCAGAACCTCCAGAAGACCCTGGACAGAGATGCTCCCTCTCGACCGCGGCGCTTCAACTCATTGTGCCATAAAAATTCAAGCCTGGAAAAAAATGTAAAAAAAAAAACAAAAAACTTTGAAGATCCTACGCCACAACATTTTTTATTATTTGTAAGAGGCTGTTATATGCAGACAAACTGCACAAACAGCTGTTCATTTGCAAGTTATGCAAACTGAGGCAGTGCGGCTCATTCTGTGGAGCCTGGATGAGCCCGCGGGTCGTTTCTTTCTAAATGAAGTTTATTAAAAACGACAGAATTAAAGCAAACGAGAGTGATCAAATAATAAATAATGAAATACAATTTGAATAAAATAACAGAAAGACTTCAATCAGAGAACAATAGCAACGTCAACAAAAAGACTCCCCAAAAACTCAGCAGGGGATGAAGGGAGTCTTACGGGCCAATCTCTGCCTTTAAACAAAGGTGAGCGCTCACATAAAAGTAAAGGTGACCTAAAATGTACAATCATAAAATCATAAAATGCACGATTACATTTCAGAAAATGTTCCTTTAAACATTTTTTCGAGATGTGCTAATGCACTTTTATGTGCTGCATAAAGCCCCTTGAAGAGAGCTGAATATCCGGTCGGACGTATGCATCAAAGCTAATGAGTCCATAAAGCAGCAGCGGAGCAGCTGCGGAAAGTCATTTACGCCTTAATGACTTTATTAAAAACGTATCACAGACAGACAGAACATTAAGAGCAGCAGACTTTCACGCAGCCTTAATCACTAGTTTAACTCCAATTACGCTGAATCGAAGAAATTACAATTATTAGCAAATTTGGGGACCGGGCTCATCTCGAATCGGTGGGAATGAGACGCTTCTCGTTGTGAAGACGATATCTGACGAGGCTGGATCTCATCTCAACGGGGAGTTAGGGACAGTTAGCAACATTGTGAAAGCGGAATCCGAGCAGAGCTCTTGTGTTGGGTGGAGTGATTAGCCCACTCAAAGTGGCAACGGGCCATTCTGCTCAGTGCTCCCCTTAGATTGCACCCACTTAAATTTAAATATCCCTCGCTTAGCTAGCAAACTTATGCATGTTCATGGAATTTTTAATCATAAATATTAACTTTAATTGTTACGTCAAGTTACAGTTCAAAGCCTGATAGATTTACCAAAAATGTATTTAAGCACTAAGAAAATATATATAGCTATATTTGCTAATAGCAAACTAACCAACAAGAACCAGCCAAACACTAACAAGGCAAGTCTGTACTCGGACAAAAACAGCAGTCCAGTTACTCCGCTTCATTTGGCTTAACTCTAGCCCTGCTTAAGAGTCGGTGTTTCCAACATGTGTGTCCTTCACATTGCACCGCACCTGACAAGCACCACCATAAGTGTCAACTCTCCCAGGCTGCTTTTCTCATCCCCTCCCCTCCCCACCTCTCCGCCAACACCCCCTCTTATCACCACCACCACAGCAGGTTGTGAGGAGTTGTATAACCGGCACCTGCTATGTAAACAGAACATAACGTCCCAGCTAGCTCTGCATACCCAACACTCTGAAAAGTGTGTATCTCAGTCTCGTGGGTTTCTGTTTCTTCACCCAGAACGTAAGCAGCAGCAGATGCAAGACGAATCTCTTCACCACAACCGCCTCTGTGCAGCTCACACACTGTGTCACCAGTTAACGTCCCCCCCGAGTGTCCACTTCCTCCTATCATCTGCCGAGTCACGACAGCATGACTTGACAGAATGTGAAAAGATGACAAGAGCACCGTTTTTACCAGATTTGACCATTTTGTGTGTTTTTTTTTTTTTATAATGAGTGTTTCTTTTGCAACCATAATTCTTACATATGGCAGCAGTGGACACAGCTGCTCAAACAGAACCGATAACAGACATGTTTGTTTTTGCCAACATAAATTCAGGACATCTGTGTACATAGGAAAAAAACAAAACAAAAACAGGAAGTGTGTTTTTCATCACGAGTGTGTGTGTGTTTGTGTTTGTGTTTGAGATGAGGTTACACCTAAACCACCAATTTCAAAAACAATACTTTTATATTGTTGCCTTAAATAACCTTCATATTGGAGTGTGTGTGTTTGTGGACAAGCACAAAGTGAAGGCGAGTTAGCCCTGGAGCTAATGTTAGCTTCAGCCCTGGAGCAGAGCCTCCCTGTGCTTTTAACTATGGTCGCGGCTCCGAAGCAAGAAAGAGCTAACGTGGCACCGTTCGGAAAAAAAAGCATTTCCGAAGCAAGAAAGAGCTAACGTGGCACTGTTCGGAAATAATAATAAAAAATCTTTCTGTGTAAATATCCCATGTTACGACGTGGACACCTGCGGCTTATAGAGAAGTGAGGGCTATAATGTACAATTATTTTTTTCTTTTTAAATAGACTTAGACTTTCTTTATTGTCATTGCACAGAAACACAAAAAAAAAAGTGAGTCTGGCAAAATGTCGTTGCTTGGCAACCGGAGTACACATTATAAAGTACCCATCTTGTAGGCCATTGTGCTACACATTGAACTAAATTTAGTGGGTGCGGCTTATATTCAGGTGCACTCACACTAGTCCGGAAATTACAGTAGCTTTTCTCTATAGAATTAGATTTGACTTTATGATTCCGAAAGTCACCGTGACTTAAGAAAAACCTGTCCTAAACTTAAGGCACATTAGTTGTCTCCAGTGCTGGGCTCCAAATGTGCTCTGTCAATGACAGCCAAGTGACAGTGAGACACCGAGCAGAGCAGTGCAGGTGGAAGAGTTAATGACATAAGTGCCCCATTCAGGCAGCATAATCTCTAATCTCTGTTATTCTTAGCTCCATCCATCCTGACACAATGTTCCCACGGCAGAGGAGAAAGAGACTGGATGTTCATCTGTGGGAAGTCCCTGCCGAGACTGAATACAAAGTGTACTGTACAAAACACTACCTATCAGGACACTTTTTAAAAATGGTTTCTAAGCTAACATCACTGTGTGGCTTCTCGTTCTCACACTGCTGAAGACACAGCCTTGGACTTGGGCGAAGTTTTTTTTTTTTTTTTCTCCCCCCTGCTGCTGTCTATTTTGCTTGCGTGTGTATATGTGCACGTGTGAAAGAGGATAGGTTCATCAGCAGATCATGTTCACATAAAGAGCAGAGGAAGGTGGAGTTTCTCAATATTTGCTCAAAAGGAAAAACAAACTCAGGGTCAACGTGCAAATGGAACAACTGCGGCGGGAGAAAAGAACAGTCTTTCTCAAATGCCGGTCACGACCTGAGCTGACGCTCAGCTGGGTGTAGCCGAACGTCAACGGAAGGGGAAAATTAATTTCGCATAACGCGACAGATTTAAAACGAATATATATTTTTTGTGACAGGTACGAATCGGGATGCAGTGCAACGGTGACCTCACCTTTGACAGTTGATTTCAGACGCTTCGTGACAGGACAGTCCCCATACATCATCCAAAGACAGACTGGACGCCTTGTAGGCCTTTCGTGCCAGCGGCGACAGCCAGTGCAGAGTCATGAATGAGAAGAGTCCAGCGTTATCGACTGGGTGCTGGTGTCTGGAGCGCACGGGGAGAAGAAGATGTGAAAAAGGGTCAGATGCTGAGAAACTCAGGCAAACACAGGGGTGCGATGTGAGGGAGAAGGTCGATGAGCATCGACAGCTCAGAGGAAAGCAGGGCCTTCTGCAGGGTGAGGCTAAAGTGAATCTCGGTTTCAGTGTTTGAACAGTCATTCACATCACCTTCATGGGAATCTGAAAAGGCGGCAAAAGCATTCAGAGGGAGTTCACAGCGGTCAGCAAATGATCAGACCTGGGAGATATATGTCAACACAGGATAATGTTAGCAAAATTATTATCGTTATTTAGAGTTCAGAACTAGTGGCAACTTTTTTTTTTTTTCAAGAAATCGTTCCAAATTTGTTACAAATTTAGTTGAAAGTTAACGAGAAACTGCTAATAGTAACTTATTTAGACATAAATGTTATGTTATTGACAAGGCAAACCTGTGTTAGCTACCATCAAAAACAAATTCTAGGCAAGAATTCTGCATAAAAAAAAAGCTGTGCAAAAATGATAAACTTCAATGATAAGGAGATAAACTTCAGCCAGAAATATAATGATCTGGATTAAAAACACTGGCAAACAGACAAAGAAATAAAAAAGAGGTGCAGCAGCTGCAAGTGTCGATAAAACTGCAGCAGAGTCATTGGAAAAGCCTACAGAAAAAAGATGAAAACAAACAAACAAACAAACTGGAACAGACACTAACACAGCTGTTGGTGAAGGATAACTCTCATCACTTATTATGACTTATTATGATTCCTGAGATGAGGCCTGTTCATCAAACAGGCAACAAAGAAGACAGGAACCAACAACTCAGGGATTTATCACGTTACATTTAAATCGAACAAATCCAGACAAACTGACCCTGTTTGTTCTATACGGTGTCTGTCAAAATATGTCAGGCTTCACGCATATAAAAAAAGATGTAAGAAATAAGAAATGTACTTGTGTGTGATTCTGAAGGGCTTCAGGAGCTGCAGACTCTGTCTGTATCGCCCTTGTCTCTTTGGACCTCTGTCCACTGATGTCTCCACCTCCTCCTCCTCCTCTTCCAGCTCTGGCAGCAGCTGTGGCGAGGACAGAGGGAGACCCTCTACCCGTCCTGCTGCTTCCAGAGCATCAGGATACATGCTTGATTTTCTACAGAAAGAGAGAGAGAGAGAGAAAAAAACTCCGTAATATAATCCAAATAGTACAAAACAGACACGAGACACGAGCCTGGATTACAATAAAGTACGGAGATGTGTTTTATCTCTAAGGGATAAAAAAAAACTGTCAACAGCCCTTAGTGTTACTTAAAACAGTCGCAACTAGTTTTTGACCAAATGTTTGAACAGTAGAGGGCTCAACTAGAAAAACTAAAAACGGATTACGAACAGTAATCTGTTTGTGTTCCCTGTTTCCCCTCACAGATGCACATGATGCTAAGATATTTAAACTGCTCCACTTGAGGCGGACTCCTCTCTGACCAGGAGTCACCCGCGAGCACCCATTGGATTGTATTTTTTTTTTTTCTATGAAAAAAACATTTTAAGCTTTAATGTCTCTGGGGCAGATTCCTCAATGATTTAAAAGTATTCAACTCTTTTACTGTTTCGATTATTTCCAGATACTCTATTTTGTATTGAACTTGACCCGAGAATAACTGTTGAATGTGGACGTCACTGTTTCTATTTTAGTTGGGGGGAATAAAAGTACACCGTATTTGGCTTCTACTGACTGTCTCTATGCCAGGGGAGTGTGAGAGAAGCCGGAGTGCTGCTGCTGAATCACACTCTGGGTCTCAAGACAGATTTAAGAATGCCCTTTCTCACAGGTCACAGGTCTATCTGTGGTCCGTTACAAAAACTGAAGAGCCTTTCTATTTAAAGAGGAGCGGCGGCCGAGGTGACACCCGCGCTGCCACTTCCACTCAAACATTGTCAAAGAGCCTTCTATGGCAAAACTCCACGACTGGGGTCAGTCTGACTCAGTGAAGTGTGTCTGAAAACAGAAACTGGTGACTGAGGTCATGAAGATATGACGGACTTACAGAAGAGTATGGCACAGAGTCTGACTGAATGGTTCTCTCTGCACTTTGTGACTCTATACGAAGAGCTACTTGTTTGATACAGACTTCCTCAACAATGTAATAATATTTGTTCTAGGACAGGCATGGACAAACTAAGGCCCGGGGGCCGGATGTGGGCCGTTCAGCTTTTTAATCCGGCCCGCCAAACTTTTCCAAATTATATGATTTATAATATCATAATACTTCCGGCTTTTCCCTGCAATACCCTTGTTTCCCCAATAGATGGCGTAGAAAATGATAAATGCATTTTAGCTAATTATCCTTTATGCATGTCTTTTACATGTCATTTTTCCTCATTCACAGGAACGCTCCATCTCTCTGCTCCTGACCCGGCCCCCCTGTTCAATTTTAGGACCAATTGTGGCCCGCGAATCAAAACGTTTGCCCACACCTGTTCTGGGACATACAATAGCACACACTCTTTTTACCATCGTCACTGCAGTCATTTGCATATCACTGCAAGTTAAATACAATAGCACACACTCTTTTTACCATCATCACTGCAATCATTTGTTTAGCTGATCCCGAAAGCACAGTGACAGTACAATTGTTGACCCTCTTGTTGACCATGTGCACCTTGGGTAGTCCACGGGGGGCTACCAGGTGCCCCGAGCACCAGACTCTTCAATCTCTCCATTTTAATGTGCCAAAAAATGACCAGGACTTGAGTCAGGATCAACACTCCGTCTTCACCGTTGTTATTAAAGTGTGATTTGGAACCAATGTCTGAAATGGAGACGACCATGAAAGGATGCTTTGTATGTTGTGTGCATGTGTGATCTTTTCCCGCAGACCCCTGTGTGCCTGTCATGTGAAGTTTGTCAGACGGCTGCGAACATCACAGAGCTGTCTTTGAGGAGGCAGCCACTCGCATTCAGTCGACAACTTTTTAGTTCTCCGGTTCTGCATACCGAGAAGCGAAGAACTCTTTCATCACCCGTCATCACTCAACGGTGAGGTGATCTGCAGAGGTTTTGGCTCTGCAAAGCACACGTAAACGTCTGTATGTGCTGAAGAAAATCGGTTGGTCATGATTATCCAGCATTCGCTTTACTCATACGCACCGACTGTTAGGCATAAGCCGAAACACGAGGGAAGGTCAGCGGAGCCATCCGGCTCTCGTTAGCCTTACGCATTAACCTCCGAAACACAAAGCTCCAGTTGGACAGAAATGGGAAACACTTTGTCACATTGCTCCTATCCTGTCTGTCATTTAAACACACTGTCGTTTTGTGTCAATTAAATAATGAATTAAAATAGGTTGGAATTAACGTAGACTTTCATATAGACCATATTTACTACTCGCCAAACACAGCTGAAACAACAAATGCTACATAAATACAAACAAATATGCGACCTAAACCAATCTTGACTGTTATTTTGACAGTAAGTACAGAGAACTATGTATTTATATTATAAGAAATTTCCAAACAGAGGAACTTTACCCCTGCAGGAAGTACTACTACAAACTGGAGAGAGTAAAAATTATAAATAAAATATGAAATATAAAAATATGAAGTTTTAAAACTACATGTTTATTTTTTTTTTTTGTCTCATCTTGAAGTCTAGCCCCCCCACCTCTTTCTGCAGCAACTCTTCTGAGAGCATTGCTGCATATTCCAGGCCAGCTGGGAGAGGAAATCACTACAGCATGTCCTGGGTCTGCCTAGGGGTGTCCACTCAGATGAATGTGTCTGGAACACCTCCCAGAAGAGACTTCCACAGGGCATCCAGGCCAGATGCCTGTATCACCTCAGTCTGTGTTCCCAATGTGAAAGAGGAAAGAATTTACTTTCAGCTGCTTCCACATGTCCAAGCTGAAGTTATGGACGTCCTGTAGACGGACCAGTAAATACTCGGCCGTATCCTTGGTTCTGTTAACGACACTTTTTGTGAACTAAAGGACGTCTACTAATTATGCTCCTCCAGACCATCACAGATGCTGGATTTGAAACTCGAGTTGACAGTTGAGTTAACAGTACCAGTTATCTTTTGTATTGTTGTCACATAGAAACAAACGGTTTTTGGTTTTAGTTTTTTTTTTTTTTTTTAAACCAGCTGTTCTCTGATCCTTCCGCGCTAGTAAAAACACACCAAATAATAGGCATAAAGAACAGGGATGGCTCGAGCCGATAATCAGGGTCGGAATCGGCTCGGATATTGGTCACAATTACAGGATCAAATATCAGAAAAAAACAACTGTAGCCCAGATCTGATACCTAAGCCCAAAGCTCTTCCAACATGGAGAGACAAATCTTATCACTCGTGCTCAGCTCTACTAAGAATTCAGGCAGGTACCTTTTATGACTCTGTGGTGGCGTCCGCACTATTCTACGCCATCATCTGTTGGGGGGGAGTGGTTTAACCTCAAGAGACATAAATTGTCTGGAGAAGCTGGTTAGTTAAATGCATAACATATTACAATCCCTCAACCAATATTGTTTACATATAACAAGCCTGTACATAGCTGCACTGCATACAGTTTGTATTTTTATTTTGTTCCATGTACACCGCTACTAACACAGTTTGTATTTTTATTTTGTTCCATGCTACAACGCTACTAACTTAGTCACTATTTTTTCTCTGCAGGTCACTTTAATTTTTTTATATTTGTCACCCTGTAAACACTGTCTATCCTGCTGCTGAATTCCCCCGTGTGGGATGAATAAAGTCTTATCTTATCTTATCTTAGGTAAAGGTAGTACTTATATTGATGGGCACACCTCGCGGCCAATCATAAGCGAGGACAGACTAGGACAGGGGTGCCCAAACTGTTCCAGGAAGGGCCGCTGGAAAAAGTCAAAGGAAATGAAAGGACAAAACAAAAACAAAAGGAAAAGCAGCATCTGGCTAAATTTGAACAACGTTTGAAACCGTCACAAGAGCAAATGATCACAGAGAGGAGAGCCGTATCAGTCCGTCCATGCTGAGGCATCTGGTTTTTCTGAATGGTAACCTGCACTGAAGACTTAGTCATAAAGTTAAACAATAGTAACTATGTGTGGGGTTTTTTTTTTTTTACACTTGAATGCGTAAAAATAAAGCTTTTAAGAACACTATGAACGAAAATTTGCTAATTTTTGTTAGCTTTAGGAATTTTCTTTATTCTTTAATCACCATAATTTGAAAGTAAAATAAATATTCAAGTCTCAGTGTTTAAATATTTGCTCATTTTCTTTAAATGTTAAACAGGCAAATGAAGAGATACATGCAACACAAAACTGCAAGACACAAATATTTGTAACTAAATGTTAGTTTCAAAAGAATAGCCAAAGATAACTAACGTGGAAATCATTAATAACGGCTGATTGTCTAAAAAGCCAGTAAAGTGACTTTAAACAAAACTAGAAGTTAGAAGAAAAACAACAACCTACTCCTATCTCGCTCAGAAATGACCAAATTAAAACATTGTGAAAATGATGTAACGCATTGTGGTGCATTAATACAAAATTTAACTACATAAGTAAATGTTAAAACTGATACAACAAAAAGTTTAGTTATCAAAAATAATTGACAAATTAACTACAATACCACTTAAATTCATCCAAAGTAGGTAAGACGAATGTAAAGAAGGTTATTATGCAAAGAGTAAATAAGTAAATAAAAAAACAATAAGGAAGACAAAGTTGGCCCAACAATACATGGAATTATATTTGAGTTTCAGTTTCCCTGAATCATTGAACATTCAATGACTATACAAAGAGCGAATTAGCGGTTTAATGCTTGTTTACTTTTGCTGAATTAATCAGTTTAACACCCAACAACAAAGTAATGACACAAGCGAAGACAACAAAGACACCACTATAGCCTCCAGCCAGGGTGTCAATGAGAAAAAAAAAAGCCTTACCCTTAAATTGAAGCTGTTCAAAGGTGACCTCAGCTTCAGCAGCAGAACTCAGCTGTTTACGCTTACAAACAGGAAACGCTGCTGCTGCCGAAGAAGAAGATGACGGCGACGAAGACACTGGATATCATTTCTTCTATCTTCTCTCAGCGTTTGTTGTTAAATCTTCACTCCAGCGTCCTTTTCCATCCTCCTGTCTTCTGTCAGTCGACAGTAAACACTCCTTAATGTGTCGCTGCTTCTCACGTGTCTCCAGTGCGTGCTTCCAGTGAAAACTCTTCAGCCGCCGACGTCACCGCACACAGGGGGCGACGCTTTCCGCGTCACGGTGAAGTCACAGAGCCCACGCCAACCGCGAACGCCGATGCTGCTTAATCACCACAGTAACGGGACGAAGTAATCAGGAAGTACACACCCACTGATTAGGAGCGAGGGGCGGGGCGTAAATCTGATTGGCTGCGTCCTTTGATGTGATGGACATGATAGGCAGCGGTGCGTGCGTGTGTGTGTGTGTGTGCAGTCAAATGTCATAAACACAAACCTGCAGAGTTACACCTTTAGGTATTTTTTGTGACTATTGCTTTTCTTAATAAAGATACTGTTGGTTTTGAATATTGATATAAGTATTGTATATTTACAGGTTGTGTGTGTGCAAAACGTTTGTCACTTTGTTTTACATTTCACATTTTTAGGAGTAAATGTTAAACGAGCACAGCTTCAGTATCACAGAGTAACATTCTTCAGTCTCTCGGTGTATGCGTGTGGTATTTGTTACAAATTCAGTCACGCTGCCAGCCTTTTCTACTCTGCTTCACTGACCGACAGGGGGGAGAAATCGACACATGAAATTGTGCAGCAAAACATGGACACTTTACTGACCTCAGGAAATCCACTGAGACCCTACAATCAATGATGTGAGCATGTGCTTCGATATCAGCCTCCCCCCCAGGATTGAATGATAACTGCTGGGATACAGTGTGTGAGAAAGCGTATGTGGACCAAAAAATAAAAAAATAGACTGTTGGAGTGTCAATCATTCATCTTTCAGTCATAAAAACATTCAGGTTTTTGCAAGACAGAAAATAAAAATCCTAAATAAACCACTTAAAAAAAACTCATGTCTTTTGCAGGTCCATTGTTTTTGAGTGCACCATAATTTATGTTATAATAATAATAATAATAATATTAACAACAATAATAATAATAATAATAATAATAATAATAATAATAATAATAATAATAATAATAATAATAATAATAATAATAATAATAATAATAATAATAATAATAATAATAATAATAATAATAATAATAATAATAGAGGCCCCTATTAGTCCCACAATGGGGAAATTTTAATTTGCAACTCACACAAGCTGCCACAGGAGGCACCATTAAGTATAAATGGTTCCTCTGGGAACCAAACTTTTGGTTTATTCATAGTATTTTATTTTTGATTTTTGTTTTGTTTAATATTGTCAGAATACGTAATAATAATTTCTCATGTTTCTTAAAAAACATTTAGCGAGGCTAAACCCTTTTTTTTTAAAGGGAAGGTGCGCTCTTAGTTATTTTTTGATAAAAAATTCTATTTTCATTTATCTAAATCAGCCACCATTTCTTAGTTTAATGGGCAACATTTCTGCTATTTACGTTTCTTTTCTACTCACACTTTCTTGCAGCTCTGCTTAGAAACCCAACATATCCCTTCTAGGGCCTTTCTGATCACAGCTCACTATTCTTGCAAATTACTAATCTCCCCCTTGATAATTCCTGGCACATGAATGTCGAGCTTGTTTGTTTGTTCCTGGATGGTTTTCAAAACTACAGTAACATTAATATTCATTGAGCTTTGGCTGCTCTGTTCTAATTCTAATTCTAATTCTAATTAGTTGGCATTGACAACCAGGCAGTTTTTTGTTGTTGTTGTTGTTGATTCCAAATTACATCAAAACGAATTGGTGTCATTGCTGCACTGAGGTGAAGTGGCAATAAAACAACGGCTAAATTATTACTAAGTTACCTTTTCAGTAACACTGTAGTGTCAAACATAAGGCCTGCGGGCCAAATCCGGCCCACTTGATGAAAAACCGGCCCGTTAAGGGGTTCAATCCGGTCCACCTGATGAATTTTGAAATTATTGTGATGTGTTTTTGTCAAATGATATTTCATTAAATAGGAATATTTTCTAAAATATACACATACTTATTTGCAGGAAAACAACAGGGAAAAACATGGCCTTGTTATTTATAGGTAATGATGTTATGATTGTACTGGTCCGGCCCACTTGGCATCAAATGTTGCCCCTGAACCAAAATGAGTTTGACACCCCTGGTGTAGATCAAAAGCTGGTTCAAAGTAAAGGAGTGTTCCGCGCTTTCCCTGAAATCGTGGACTAGCGCTTGACGACAACACCGGCACTTGCGAACACAGAATCCTCAGACTGAAAACAAGTCTCGCTCTTTCGCGTCCTCCTTAGTTTGACATCAGCTCACAGCCTGATACACTGACTACAGTACAATCCCCCCCCCCCCGCCCCCCCACTTCCTGCTGGTTCTCCTGTCTTCAGAGAAGCTAAAATAAATCCCTGAGAATATGTTTAACTTTTTGGAGACAGAGCTCGCTGGTTGACAACCCATCGGCTTTAACAAGGCCTCAGCCATGCGCTGAAGAGAACTGTCACGGTGGATTTTTACCCGCAATCATTCACTGGGATTTTGATCAAGACATGGAAGCAAGGAATCAAATGACATTAGGGAGAGACTGATGCAGTTTTAATGACGCCGACATCTGATAGTTTCACGGTTCATTCCAGGTGACTCCGGTGACAGGGCTGCCATACTTTAAGGCATATATGTATAACCTATAAATAAAAGATAACCCTCAACCTTATAAGATGATTCACGTGTGAGCAGGATGGGACGCATTGGTAATTCAGAGGAGCAAAAATGTGAACGAATCAGACCTGGACTGTGATTTAGCCTAGCCCAAGAGAGGCTCTCTTCCAGCTACATCACTTGTTGTCTGCCATTGGAGAATGCCACTCATCCACTGTAATGATCAAAAAATGGAATTTCCAACCCAACACTTCATATTTTTAAATGAATAGGTTGTAGTTAGAGTTGATTGTGTTATGGATTCCCACCGGGAGGTTTAGGAGGAGCGGATCCAAATGCAGAAAACACAGAGGAAAGAAGAGGAATTAAGCGCCGTTTAGTGAGGGAATACTGGCAAAACACCGAACGATGACAATCCCAGAAGCGTTTGTCTTTGTGTTTCCCCCGCGAGTGAAACAGCGTGGCAGCTAAAACCCTGAAAGCAAGAGAACGAGAGCAGCGCTACTGCAAGAGTTCATAAGGCAAACGACGAAGAGCTGGCCACGTGTTACCAAGTCGACGCGTACAACACCAAACACCAGCTCCAGGGAGACCAGATTTCTGTCAAGGACATTTCAGTAACTGTCATCACTAGACGCCCGGCGATAAAAGATGTGAACTTCAACAACCTTCATCCAACCTTTCATCTAATTTTCTGACTAACATGCAGTTGGTGTTTGAATTTATCTTTTGTCAGCGGCTAAAAGCTGACAGCCAGTGATTTTTAAAGCATTTTTGCTGTCACTCAGTACGTTCATAAATCAGTCTGATTGACAGACTTTTGAATGTATTAAATGATAAAAAAAAATACTACAAAAATCACTATCTGATAATGTAATGAGAGACTTTTTTTTAACAATTCCAGATTCATTTCAAAAGCCAATACAGAAAACATGTGTTTATTTATTTATTTTTACATCATCAATTGTAATTTTTCTTATCTTGATAAGTTATTTTGCATCAACATAATAAAAAAATATCTATATTACTCAAAATTGTAGGGCAGCCCTCATCAGTTAACATTTTAGGTTGAAATGACAAGTTACAGTTTACAGTGCAGGGACCAGAGGAGCTGGTGGTCTGCGTCTGCCCCCGGTGGTCAGTTCCAAACACTGAAGTTACGAAAAGAACATTTTTGAAATTGAATTGAAAAATAAATGAATGAATAAATAAATAAATCAAAGAAGAAATGTGTCTCAGACTGGGACCCGCACCATCTCTTTAAAAATCACTACTTGATGGTTCAGCGGTCTACGCTGAAGATCCGGTCCAGCTGTGCTATTTCTGGCCTGTTAGACTCTGAAGGTGTTTGATGTAAAATGCCACCACAGGTCAGGCGTAGAAGTGAAACTCTCCCCCTAATGAGCAACAGCGGCTCTCCGCTAACGTTATGAATCAACTGACCTTTTAGCACGGATAGATTGCTTTCCACCTACAGCAATTATCTGCCCAGTGGAAACTTGTAGGATCTGGAAGACGCTCCGGCCGCTCGAGCGATGCGTCTCCGGTAGGATCGCATTTGATTTTAAGTGAGTGAGAAAAGGGGTATTTAGTATTCAGTACTTAGTTAAAACTTCACTGTGAAGACCTTCAATTTAATAAAACGTCATAGCATGTTATTATTTTTATGTCTCAGTCACTCAATCTCTACCAATTTAAACAGCCCTACCTTAACAGATATACACTTAAAAAGGCCTGGAAAGATGGACATTACTGGAGTATTTTACGCAAACAACTTTACATATCAGATCAGGGGTGTCAAACATATGGCCCGCGGGCCAAAACCGGCCTGCTTGGGGGTTCAATCCGGCCCGCTTGAGGAATTTTGAAAGTGAAAAAAGTGATGTTTTGTCAATTTATATTTCATTAAATATGAATATGTTTTGATGTCCTTGCACTGATAGCTGAACTCATGAAACAAAGCTGGGTTTCTTCTCTTCATTGTGTGTTTTTTGGGTTGGGAGAATGACATTATTATTATTATTATTTTTTTTTTTAAAAAACTTTAAGCCTGTCTCCTTAGAGAAAACCATCCAGTCTGTAACACGCTCCAGCCCAGGGGTCAACAAACCTTTTTGAAACTGCGAGCTACTTCAAGGGTACTTAGTAATACGAAGAGCTACTTGTTTGATACAGACTTTCCGAATAAAGAAGAAGAAGCACAGTAACAGTACATCTGACCCTCTTGGTGACTAGTTTTATTTTTAGAACAAGGTCACCTCAGTTAGTCCACAGAGGCTACCAGTTGGTGACCCCTGCTCTGGCCCAGTGCCTTCTGGGACTGACTCCAGCAACGCTGTGACCCTGAAAAGAGACCCAACTAGAACTTTAGGAATTGAATCTCTAATTTTGAACTACATATACGAAACAGTCAAGACACTTAATTGCGGGCTAGAGCGGCGGCAGTGACCCCCGCCTGTCAGCAGAAGGCTCCAAGTTCAAATCCACAAAGGCCCCTTAAATTGCAGGTTGGGTTTCATTAAGAAGGGCTGGCGTAAAGAAGTACCTGTCAAATCACTGTGACCGGACCACCTCTGTGGAGACCCTTGATATAAAAATTATAGAGTTGTACGTGATTAAATAAAAAAAGTCATCGCTGTAGAGCAGAGGGTGAGGATGTAGCTGGAACACGTGGACTGGATCGTTCGAGTTAACCCTAAAATTTGATTTATAAGGTAATAAATTCCTTAAAAGCCAAGTTATCAGTGTGGTAGTTTTATTGACCAATAGTAGTGTTCTGGGTGATTCCATCCCCAGTGTCTCCAGGCAACCGTAAGAGCATCTCTATTGTGCAGCCGCGGCTTCCTGGAATGGTGGGTGTTTTTTTTTTTTTTTTTTTCCGAGCTGCTTTCTTATGAATTCATACATTAACGAGGCCCACGCCGCTTTTGTTCCTCAGGGATTCCCAGTGAACATGTTTCTCCCAGTGAGACCACGGAGCTCCTGCTGTTCATGCTAATCAGCATGAAGCAGTGGAGCTGCTGCAGCTGCAGCTGAGCTCAACAGGAGGAGCTGTTGAATCACTTCCTGTTAAATACAGACTCACCGGCCCTTCATCCATTCTCATACGGCACTTCCACTTGTTGTCAGAAATGAACAGGGGTTCAGGGAAATGGGACGGATGCTCGATGGAAGTTGAAATAGAAAATTTAGATGGGCTAAATATATCACATGCTAACGTTAGCTGGTAAAGGGCCCAAAGTTAACCAAAGGTTTCCACAAATAACTGGTCTTATTTGAAGACATGAATGATGAATGAGGTGAAATATTAGTGCATGAATACACAAATGTTAGCCATTAGCTGGCATTTAACTAACGGCTAATAGCTATCTATACAGATGAATGTTAGCAAACGATATAGTCGGATGTAAACAGTTTATTTATAGTAATAGTTACCAAAATTAGCAATAAAAAACGAGCTGACCTGAAACTGTGGGATAAAGAACAAAACATAAAATATAAGACACATTAAAAAGAATTGACTCGTACTTTGCAAAAGCATGCTAAAAAGGCTAAAAAGGCAACTGAATGTTTTTTTAAGTTACCAGGGGAGATTTTGAGAATATATTTGGAGTTAATTTTTAACTCCGATCTCAGTCTTGGTCTAAGGGACCTTTCCCAGGACTTGGGAATTTGAAAATCTGAAGATTGAACATAACAGTAATTCTGTCTGAATTTGACATTTTTGGGTGAGTTACTAAGCTACTGCTGGGCTAAAACTTTAGCTGTACATCTAGCTACGTACGTTTAGCCTTTTGTGGAATACCTTTTCATTTTTCCTTTTTCAGGTTAAGATTTTTACAAATGTAAACAAAATTTAATAACATTTACCTGTTTGATTACATGCCAGACACATGTTAGCTTCTACATGCTAATTGTTTGCTAAATGAAAACCATTTTTAAAGTTATTGACTATATTTTGAGTATCCTATGATGTTATGATGTTTTCTCTTTGTCACCTCTGACCCATTATCTCACACTCTCAGACATTTTCATTTATCTCAGTTAGGTAAGGAGGCCAAGGTGCAGGGATGGGATTCCTGTCCTATCGTACAGAGAGTTCTTGGTTTGATTCCACCAAGTCCTCAGTCGGAGGCGTATACATTTTGCCAAACTACTATTTGAACATTCTGAAATGGACCTAATCCGACTTAGCTAAATTTAGATTCCGTTTGTTTTCCTCACGTTCTTTACATAATTCATCCCACAGCAGCAGCTTTCCCGCCAGATCCAGTTGGCCAAAAGCTACCAAACGGAGCGCACTGGAAGTTTCTTCTGTGTCAGTGTTGTTTTGCGTTCAACATACAAACATCTGCATTCCTACCGCCGGGTTAATTCTTCATCCATGAAGCTCCGGTTCCTTTTTCAAACCGAGGTTATTAATAATAAATAACATGTGCGAGCGAGGAAAGCCTGCTGCTCTTAGGCAAAAAAAAAACCCCATTCTCTTTATTATTCATTCAGCCAAAAGGATTTGTACGCTGACAAGTGCACGAGCGCTAATTTTTCAAACGCGAGAGCCTGTAGGAGATGGAGGAGGATGATTAGAGCTAATCATGTGTGAAAATAAACCTTTGTTTCCCTCAGCGGTGGAGGTAGTATGTGAGGCCAACAAGGCCAATGGAGGAGCATTAAAAACACTTCAGTGAGCTGCAGGAACGACGCTCCAGCCCCCGACAGAGACACGGACAGAGAGGCAGAGGGGGAGAAAGAGCGAGAGAGAGAGAGAGAGGAGCTGCTGAGGGTGAAAACTCTCTCCCGTGAACTTCTGTGTTCTATATGGAAGGTACGGAAGCAGGGAAACGGACCACGAACACACTGCTCAACTCTATTAGTCATCATTAACAACGTCCCTCTGGTGTGTTTCTCCATGAAATGAGATGTGACCGCGCTGCAGCGGGAAGGCGTAATTGAAAATTGCTTAAAGAGAAATTACAAGATGATTAAGAAGATAAGACTCTGCAAAACATAAAGTCCAACAACTATTTTTTTTCTTTTTTTACTTAAAACATCTTATTTAATATTCAAAAATATCCTCCCAGCATTTACAGTGTATTACAACAAATGATTCTATGCAATTGAGAACAGCTTTTACAGAAAATGAAGAAATAGATCCATTTGTCGTCTATGATACAAACCGGCAACAGCAGAAAGAGAAAACAGACAGACAGAGGTGAGAGTCTGGAATCTCAGAGGTTTGGAGAGTTTTCAGTCTGACCCTGATAAATTAAAATAAAATAAAAAACAAAAAACAAAAAACAAAAAAAAAAAAAAACCAAAACACCTCAACAACACCTCCACACTGAGTCGTGGAGTTCTGCTTCCACCAGGAAATGATCCACTCGACGGCAGGATTCTGAGGGAGAGTCTCCGGCTCTGAAACCTGATTTTCACTCAGTGTTTGACACATTTCGTCATAATTTCAATAGCGGCGTTCCTAAAGCTGTGGAAACTGCTGCGTGTCCTGTTTCCGTCCCTGAAATCCTCTCGGGTCTGAGACGCCGGGGCTCAGTCAGGTCCATTGTTCCGCTCCCCTTTTTTTTTTTCCCCCAATCACAGAGTCTCTGTGCCGCTGCCTTTGACTTGTCCTTCTTTCCAAAAGTCTCTTCGGTGATCCCTAAGAGCAGGTGGTCTGTTCTTTATGTGCTCTTAATGCCCTCAAAGCCACAGAAGTTCCAGCGTTTCTCCAGACTGGCACCGACACCAGTCATTTCCTGTCTGAAGGTGCAGGGAAGTCGAGACAGAAGTGCTTCAACCTCGCTGGGATTGATCTTCAGAAAGAGAGAAAGAGCGTGAACTTAAATTAGGAGCGGCACACTGAGCCTCTTCTGTTACACTCTCGACATCCACACACACACACACACCACCTGTTCTGTTCTCTCTTCGCTGTTTTAGAATCAAAGTTTGAAATTGTTTTTCAAAGCCACGAATGACCTCGTTCCATCACATCTGACAGACTAGGTGATTCCACTCAGACAGATAGGACACTGAAGGGGCCTATAATTAGGTATAAACATCTAGGGCGCGTGTCAAACTCGAGGCCCGCAGACCAAAGGCGGCCCGCCAGGTCATTTTGTGAAGCTTAAATTTTTTTTTTTAAATTGCCTGATAATGAAGTCTAGGCTGCTTTAGAGTGTGTAATGACCTGTAAATTACAACTACAACAATGAATTTCATGATGGCGGGAGAGCCACTTGGTGAGTTCAAGGACAAGCTACAGCACCTCGTCAACTTCACCCAAACCCAGACTCATATAGTTCTGAACTGAGACGTCTGTGGTTGTTGTCTGACTTTTGTAATTTAGTTAAAAAGTTTGAAAGTTTGATTTGACCGTGAGTTTCCTAACCTGAAGAACTAAAATGTTTTAATTTTTATTACACGGAGAAAAGTACAATATTTGTAACTATAATAATATAATCAACTGCAGAAACATGTATTAACACATTATGGTGCACGGCAGTTACATCTAGAACAGGGCTGTCAAACTCATTTTCACCGAGGGCCACATCAGCAATAAAGTCCCCCTGGAAGGACTGGTTGTTACTGGAAGACTGTCTAGATCAGGTGTCCCCAACCCCCGGTCCGTGGACCAGTACCAGTCCATAGGTCATTTGGTACCGGGCCGCAGTGGGACACAGTTAAAAAATGTACTGAATTTTTACTAATTTTAGTTCATTCGAAGAAAATCCTGTCATATCCATTTACTTTGTGGAAATATTTTGAAATAATAGATCATTCAGACTCTGATACTAACAGAATAGAGTCTAAAAGATGTTTTATTTTGAAAATTTAATGATCTACCAGTAGTAACGGGTGGTACTGGCGGACCAGTACTTTGGAACCAAAAAGGTCAGGGACCTCTGGTATAGATGTAACTACTCCATAACAGACTAATACATGTTTCTGAAATTGATTATTATTTGATTGATTATATAAACTTTTAATTTCTCAGGTTAAGAAACTCTGCTGCATGGATTTCACTAAAAGCTTTTTAAGCTCCCGCGGGCCACACAAAACACCTTGGCGGGCCGCATTTGGCCCCCGGGCCTTGAGTTTGACACATATGATCTTTAGAATGGATATTTTTTTATGCTCAACATTGTTGTGGAAGTTTTGGGAAACGTTGGTTCTTTTTTTGATATCTTCTTCCTTCTCTACTCTAGTTTGGTTTTATTTCAGTGTATGTTCCTGTTTGATGAGCTTTTATTCGGTGGAAAGTGAAGCGCTCTGTAAATAATAAATGTTGAGCCAAATACTGAGCAGCCTCCGGTTAATGTGTTATGTCAAAGACTATAACCTAACTAGTCCTTTTTTTTCAAAATGTTTGGATTTAAATCACATGTGGGGAAGTTGACGCTAATTTTCGTCTCGGTTTCTGGTTCATCTGTCATGTCGACGTTTTTACAAATTTGTCTTGGCTGAAGCGGCAGAGAGGTTTTCAGTAACACACTACACGCATTTGAGCAAATTTAGACATATTTCATGCTAATTTTGGTTGCTGTTAGTTATTTAAAAAAAAATAAATAAAAAAATTGCCCGAGGTGAAGTACCGTCACTCATAGTGAAAATCATTTCCGGTGCTGAAACTTCTTAAATTTTTTAAAAATACACAGTTTCAGTTTCAGTGTTGCCTTCAAATGTCAAGAATCTAGGATCCTGGTTTCCATACATTGACAGAGACCAACAGTCACCTGACTCAGCAGTCACCTGACTGATTGCCATTCATCTAGTGGTTCTCCTGGACTCAGGATGTTTGGTTATTTTAGACTGTGAGGTGACAGAGGAGACGTGCAGCGTCTGAGCTGCCGCAGACGAACCTCGGCGTCCTGCATTAATGAGCAGGCCGTTAAAAAGCTCGGCACCAAAGGCGCCGGTGTGGCTCTGCATCAGGATCAGGATCCATCACAAGGTTTTTTTACATTATCATTCTGAACAGGACCTCAGTGTTTGGAGCCTGGAGATGAGCAGGACCGACAGAGGTCTGGTGTCGGTGATGTTGACGGAAGGGTTCGAGGGAGAGTCAGGGTGGGAACGACTGATCAGCGGAGGTGAAGGTGAACAAAGAGGAGTGTGTGGGCGTGCACGTGCACCGGCACCATAATTAGACAGGAACACTTTGAAAAGCATGACAAAAAAAATCACTTCATTTTATATATACATATATATATAAACATATATATATATACACATACATATATATATAAACATATATATATATACACACATACATATATATAAACATATATATGTATATATATATATACATATATATATATACATATATATATATACATATATATATAAACACACATATATATATATATATACATATATATATATACATATATATATATACATATATATATAAACATATATATATATACACACATACATATATATAAACATATATATGTATATACATATATATATACATATATATGTATATATATATATATATATATATGTATATATAATGGAATTAATCCTTCAGTATATTGAATATATTGAATGAAACTTGACGTCTGCAAGACTACCGTCATCTTTTTTTTTTTTTCTGACAAAACCCATTTTGCTGCAGCGAAAACGAATCAGTCGGCTCAATCGAATTTATTAAAAACTAGACTAGCCTCTCAGTAGAGTACATAGTAGCCCAGTAGAGGGCCGGTTGTATGACTGTATTTATCAGCGGTCCCCAACCCCTGGTCCGCGGACCAGTACCAGTTCATAGGTCATTTGGCAATGGGACACAGTTAAAAAATGTACTTCATTTTTACTTCCTTCTTTCAAAGACATATCCATTGACTTTCTTTATTTAAAGATATTCTGGCAACTTTTAATTTTTTAGGTTACGAAATTCTGCTGCATGGACTTTACTAAAAGCTTTTTAAGCTCCCGCGGGCCACACAAAACAGCTTAGCGGGCCGCATTTGGCCCCCGGGCCTTGAGTTTGACACATGTGGTCTATATGGTGTGTGCACTGTCCTACATGTTGTATGAGGTTTATTTATGTCTCCTGTAGTTTAGACTCCATGTCCTTACTACAGACATCTATTTAGACGTTTCAGTTTTTTTTGTTTTTTTGTTTTCCCGACGACACTTTAACATCCTCTACCATCACGACCCAAACCCAGGGAGGGCTCTGATAGGATTCCTAACTAATATAGTGATGTAAATACTATTTAATGGGGGAGTTTTGATGGACGCCACTGTGTTACCTTTGTGTCCAAACGCTGCAGGTACGAACAGATGTACTCAATACTGGCTCCAAACGGGTGAACGTGCAGGAACGTTGATATAATACCTGGAGTTGAACAGAAACAGAAAACAACAGATTAATGCCGGAGCATGTCTGTTATCACGCTCCCAACACCGTTCCCATCATCCACAGCTCTTCGTCGAACTCCTCTCCACTTCTTCAACATCAGCTCTGAGTGTCTGCTCTCCCACAGCTCCCGCTGCGGTTCTAATCCTCTTGTATATCTCTGCTGCGGACTGAAGTGAGTGTTTAATGACAGCTCTGATGCTGTTGTCTCTCAGGTCCGAGCTCTTTTTCAGCTCCTGCAGCTAAAACAAACCATCTGCTATCAGCTGACAGTCAGAGCCTGGAGAGAGACGGAGGTAATCCTCCACCTCTGCAAAAAAAAAAAAAAAAAAAAAAAAAAAAAAAAAAAACCCCCATCGGAACACCTGGAGAACAACACTCCAGACAAACAACTCAAACTCAAAAACAAAAGTAATAAACTACGGAGTCTCCGGAGAGTGTAGAGCGAACGATAAAGGCAAATAGATGCTTGAATGGAGCTACATGTTAGCCTGAAGCTAACACATTTATGACTTGGTATTAGTGCATTCAGATTTTACATTTACATTTGTATGTATTTAGCCCATGCTATAATCCGAAGCGACTTACTGGAGGAGGATTAACAATCGAGCTTCAAAGAGGAACTCCTGAAAGAAGATTACTAGTTAGGACTGTGTTACCACTTTTCACCACTAGTTTATACAAAAAGACTTTCTTTGTCTCATCATCTGGTATCTGTGGCAGCCTGAAATATACAAGCTCTCACTAAAAACGGGGCCGCTACTTACCCTCTGGCTAACTGTAAGCTACTGTATCTTTGTGCGTAAAAGTCAGCTATTCTTTTGTGTAACTCTTAGCTATCTGTGTGGCTAACTCCGAGCTAGTATCTTTGTGTTTGGTTGACGGCCATTTGAGTCATCTTTGCGTTTCACTGTTGGTTAGTTTTACTTTTTATGTTAGCTACGTGTTTAGCTGTTAGCCACCCTAGGGTTTATTTTGTTAGCTACCTTCGTTACCTTATTACTATAAGCAAACCCTGTTATGTTGAACTGTTAGCCATCTTTTCCCCGAACACAACTGTGATGGGACGCTGATGGATTGAGTCATTCAGTTGTTTCCAGCGAGTTTACATTATTTAGCAGTTAGCACGCACTAGCCTCGAACGGTGGATGGAAGCAGCACACACGCCACGCAGCCCATGTCAAAACTTCTTACATCAGGAACAAAACCAAGATTTGACGTAGTTTTAAACCCTGGCCTTTGTGCTTTCCATTAGCTACGCTGCCTTTTGTGAATTATCTGCTGGTTGTTTTATGCATAATCTGAGGATAAGCTGTCTGTTTTCAGTGAATTCAACGAATCGTTTTTAACGACTGAAAAACATCCATGACATCAACAGCCCCCAGAAACAATAGATTGTGTAATATCTTTGATGATAAATTCTAGTCCTTTGAATTTTCCCACATTTACTTCTTCCAGTCCGACAGAGACTGGTCCAGTTTTGTTTTTTTTTTTTGTGAATTCTTTGTGTGATTTTTAGGAATTCTTTTCATGTAAAGTAAGGAAGAATAATAGTTTTAAATAATGTTATTTTGATAGAAAAAAGCTTGCGTGGTCATCAACGCACCTACGAGCAGGGCTTCTCTCTCTGAGTGAACCGGACTCTGCTGGTTCTTCTCTGTAGGACCTTCTTTCTCCGGACTGCCTGACGCCATCGATGTTTCCTGAACATTTACACAAAAAATAAAAAATTAGAACAACCAGAGATATAGAAAAACAAGCTACGTTTGTAGACATTTTTATTTAAAAAAAAAAAAAAAAAAAATCAGAACAACCAGACATATACAAAAACAAGCTACGTTTGTAGACATTTTTATTTAAAAAAAACAAACAAGAAAAAAATATAATTTTGACGTCATAACCCATGTTGCTGTATTTTTGGCTATGAATTTCCCGGCTAACATTTAGCAGCCTTTTAGCTCTTTGATGAACTGTTTGCTTATTGTTAGAAAGAATTAAACACATTTTGTTAATCTACTTTTGTCTGAGAGATGCTTTATTTATGGTAAACTTTTGACCACTTTATTTGCATATTTGACCTATTATCTGGCTATACTTTGGACTCAGATAGTTTAGCCGTTTTATGCTAACAGATAGATCGATAATAATACTGCAAAATAATAATATAATCCAATATTGAAATTTTGAAATTAGTGTCCAACTTTAAAGTTACTTATTTTTATAAATGGTGTCTAACAGTGTCTAGCAGTGACAGCCCAATATTTTCTGGCTCGGTTGCACAAACTCCAAACTGGAACAACAAGCAAACAAAAAAACTGACTTATGTCGTCGTTGCATCGTCTTCCACAGATCAGAAACAGATGCTGCATCATCTGAATATCTGCCTCTCTCTCTCTCTCTCTCTTTGTTCTCTGTGTGTGTGTGTGTGTGTAGGTCTCAGGCAGAATTAAAGCTGTCTGCTGAATTGTCTCCCACGCCTCATTATCCTCATCCTCGTCATATCTCCGTCAGTATCCATGTGTCAGAGCCGAAACTTCTGATGTGTTCACTCCACTCCATTGTGTGGCTCTGATTAACATTTCCCTGACATGTCACAAGTCAGTGTGAACTCAGGCTTGTTTACTTCATCGTCAGAGACAGTTGAACTGCGACTGACTTTTTTCTTTTTTTTTTTTTAATTAAAGACCAGAGTCCAAAGTATCAGGGACTTCAATGAAACATGTTATAGTATTATGTATTTAAGACTCAAAACACAAATAAGGCTAGGATTTCTCAAACTAAGCCAATGACAATGTTAAATTAGCATAATGTTAGCTTAAAACAAGACAAGATAAGACAGTAGTTAAAAAAAGTTTGTGAAAATTTGAGTAAAATAAACAAATAAGGATAAACAGGCAAAATAAACTAAAACCCAAATGACTAAATATAAATGTAACTGAATGTAGAAAGATAGACGTTCTAAAAATATAGTAGCTTTAAACAAAGCTAACGAATACCTAAAAAGCTAACAACAAAGCTAATATTATCCATGACAAATAGTTGATTTTACCTGGGTTTGACTAGAAAAAAAGCTAAAAAAAAAAAGAGATTTCTAAAGATTGCTAAAACCTAGCTATGACGTAATAGCAAAATGGTTGCTAAAGAAACTAGCACAGCTAGTAAAACCTAGCCCGGACACCATTTAAACCTAGCTATAAATATGTGAAAGCTATTCTTTAGCGTAGCTAGCACTGCATACATTGTGCAACATTGAATTTCCCGGGAATTCCTCGATCCTTGACGATCCTAAAACATTTCCACAGTGGGGAAAAAAGAAAAACCCCCATATCTGACCCTGGTCTGCATTATCTCCACTCTTTGTTTGGCTTTTTCTGTTTTGAATTTTTAACATTAGATCCACAGAGTGTGTCAGTGTGTGGGTGTGTAGACATATGCAAGTCATTCGGACTTTATGACCCTTTTATTTCCCGGCTCGGCCTCGTCTGGCTGAGATTTATTCCATGACAAATGCAGTTGCAGTGAACTGTGTTGGCCTTGTAATGATCTGTCATGTCAATGGAAGAGCTTCCAGATAGGACAGTCAAAAAGGAAGGAAAAAAAAAAAAAAACTTACACTGGTTTGACTTGTGCTGTCCTCACAGACTTTGTCGTCCTGCTGTGATGTCTCCAGCTGTGATCGGTTACAAACAAGAGAAGAGAATAATCTAAGGACGTATGTTGACTAATAAATGGGACCAGAAAAAAACTGAGCCGTGATGTTTGGATGAAAGAAACAAAAACATTACAAGACTGATATGCACTAAACAGCCTGGGATAAGGGATAACGTGAAACTAAAATTAGCTAACTTTTAGCATGTGCTGTTAACTTTTGGCTACCTTACTTATAACCTTTTATTTCATTCATATAGACTCATTTTAACAACTCCAGAGTGACAGATGTTTTTCAATATTGCTAACCAGTGTAGGCTAACGGATTTTAGCATTTAGCACAGGATTTTAAAGCGAGATGCTACGTATTTTGGCTAGCTCTAGACTTATTTTTTTTTTTGTAATTTAACAAAATAGTCAGTGAGCTTGATTTTTAAAAAACATTTTTCCAGTTAACTTTGTGTTTCTCTATTGAGAAATAACGTGATACACGTGGCAGAGAAAAGATTATACAGTAGACGGTGCTACATTATATTTTAGTATTGATCCCCCGGTTGTCACGCTGAACAGAACTGATCAATATTAGAATGAGAACTGTTGAAAAAACTCACGTGTAAACAGCACATGTAATTACAAATGAAACTTGATGTAACAGCAAATGAAAGATGGTTGAGGAGAGCTTCTAACAACAGCAGTGATTTACATTAGCCGCCTGCGGGGATTAATAATAGTAATAATCATGGTGACCGAGCGCAAAAAAGGAAACAAGTCGATAGCCCACTGGAGGACAAAATGTTCAGTAAAGGAAGAACAGAGTGTGATGGCTGTGATGCATTGGTCGAAGTCTTAGAACGTCAGCTTTAGATTTTGGCTCTGAAAAGTCTTTTAGATTAACAATTAGAGAATCGCTAGGTAGCCTAGAGCAAAGCAGGCAGTAGAAGAAGTGGGGTAAAAAGATACGCAAAAAATCTGGGTTAAAATGTAATACATTAAAGGTAAGACAAAGTGAAAGTGACCTAAATACATGTTCACAAATAAGTCCGAGTTAGCTGTAAAATAGCTAAGAATTGCCTACGCGTATAGAGCTCAGCTAATAAGCTAACTTGGCTAATGATTAGCCCAAAAAGTACATTTTTTAATTGGACCAAAAGATTTAGCTATCAAATAGATACTGCATTTACTACTTTTAATTAAAGGATATTTTTTAATGAGAAAGGACCCGTTAAGTTTTTTTTTTTTTTTTAAAAAAAGATAAAATTAGCTTTACTGTGATGCTAAATTAATAGTTATTTTGGATAATCGCAGTAACAAGTGTGGTTCAGAAAAAAAACTTCAGTCATTTTCTCGGACACGTTTTCACATTGTTTGACAAGTTTCTTTTCTACTGTCCTTTTCACGGACTGAAACTCGTTCTGGGACAATTTATTTTCCATCAAAGTGTAAATTACACTGGTTTATTTCCCTCCACTTAACAGAAAGAAATAACCAAGCTTTCTGTTAAACAATAATTCAACCTTTATCCTGTGGAGGAGTCAGACTGACCTGTCTGAGGTGAACCTTCTGCAGGTTCTGGAGTCCGTCCTTCAGAGTCTGGACCTGGGTCTTCAGCTGCTGTTTGTCCTCCAGACTCCTCTCCAGCTCTGCTTCTCTTACCTTGAGTTCATCTCTCATCTTTAGGAGTTGCTAGGTAAAAAAAAACAACAACAACAACAAAAACAAAATTAGTCCCAGGATTTGAGGATGACTTCAGGGTGTGTTACTATCATAGTAACTAGTACCAGGAGTTGGGAACTGAACAGTTCAGAGTCTGACACTGTATGCTTGTTTCCACCCTGCTAACTAGTACCAGGTGGTAGAAATAGAACCTGGAACTATGTCCAGTGACGGCAGGACCAGGAATAGAGCTGTGTTGTCAACCAGGATCGAGAGACAAGACATGAGCGTAGCTCTTCCGCAAACACTACAAACAGAACGGTACCAGTGGGGCACATACTATATACCTGTAAAACAAGTACCAGCAACTCACAACAGTACCAGGGATAGAGTCGTGTTGTCTACCAGGATCGAGAGACGAAAAATTCGTGTACATCCAGGACAAAAACTACGAATAGAACAGTACCAGTAACGCAGATCGTACATATCTGGAGAACAAGTACCAGCAACTCACAACAGTACCAGGAATAGAGCTGTGTTGTCTACCAGAAACCACAGACAAGTAATAGTGTAACTCTACCACAAAAACTCCAAAGAGAATAGTACCAGTAGTGCACATACTATATATCTGGAGAAAAAGTACCAGCAACTCACAACAGTACCAGGGATATATATATATATGCTTACATATAATATAATATAGTATAATATAATATAATACAAATAGTGAATCTAAACAGTATGTAACTATATCCATGTTCTTAAGTGTGTTACATAGGGACCCACTGTCATATCCTTCCACTGGACCCAGAATTCCTAGCAGCGCCCCTGCTCCCATGATCCTCCAGGACCGTCTGATCCTCTGTTCCGTAGAGCTGTCCAGGTCCTGCTGGAGCAGAGCGTCCCTAGTCTTCCAGGCTTTCACATGTTGACACCAAACATGTCCTCTGTTTGGGGTGTACACATGATTCAATTTGAGACTCAATCGTCCCAGTTTTCCAGAGCTCCTGGTCTTTATCTGCGTTCTCTCTGGCAAACTTCAGTCTGGCCTTGAGGCTTCTCCCCCAAAAAGCGATGGTTTCCTCCCCGCAACACTTCCCATGCGAGTTCAAATCGTGCAGTCTCTTTCTGGACTGTCACACAGTAGCAGGAGCCTGCCTCTGGGACTTCTTTAAGCGTCTCCGGGGTCGGCTCTTCCAGACAGGGGAATGGCTCATTGTAAAACTTTTTGAGATCTTTTAAATGACTTACAGTGCCCGTAAGATGCAACAGTCTTCTTTCTGAAGACAGCTCTTTTGATCTCACCATGCTGTTCACTCTCACTCTCACAACAGTCAGGCGCACCACGAACCAGATGTCTGAGGTTTAAACAGGGTAAGCCTGCTTCATAGAGCTGAGTGACACTTTTCTAAAAGTGCACCCAAGTGTGTGATTTGAGCTAATTTATAAGGGTATAAATACTCTCTTTCACTTTAGTTTGAATTTTTTTTTTTTTTTTGTGGAATTACAACTTACAGAAAATTCTTGACTATCCTTAGTTATGCTTTCACTGTTGAGTTATATTACCGTATTTTCCGGACTATCAGTCGCACTTTTTTTTCATCCTTTGGCTGGGTTTTGTAATTTATACTCTAATCAAAATAAATTTCACGTTTGTTATTTTCACACTGACAGCCACTAGAGGGCACTATAGTGCTTTGTACAACATTGATCCCATATTTTGGGAAATTGTTGTGTTAGCAGCAGATAAGCTGCTAACAGGTTGCCCCTAGCAAGCGCCAAGCATGTGGTACCTCTGGGAATCGAACCCAGGACTCTCTGCTTCCGAGGCAGGATTGCTAACCGTGCTCTCGGCTTGTGTACCAGTACAGTATCTGCTACTCCAGTACCACTTGAAATTTACATGTTCGTTATTTTCACACTTACAGCCACCAGAGGGCACTCTAGGCTTGTGTACTACTATCTGCTGCTCCTGGTCTACCAGGATCGAGAGACGAAAAATTAGTGTACATCCAGGACAAAAACTACCAATAGAACAGTACCAGTGGTGTTTCCGTTACATCCGTGGGACACTGCGCCCCCTACGGCTCGTGTCACCACGCAGCGAGACACCAGTGCAGCGATCTACCAGTCTCTGACATCGGTCCGTTGAAAGTGTGTCCTGCGCTCCTCGGTGCAAACTCTGTACAGCTGTACGATGATCGAAGGATTCTTCTCACGTGTACAGCCCACAGCATCTGAATGGAGTTAAGCTCTGGGCTTCCACTCAGCCGGGACTCTCCAATTCCCAATGTTCAGCCAATCCTCGGTGGATTTACTGGTGTGTTTTGGGTCACTGTCGTGTTGCGGGCTCCAATTCTGCTCCAGCCCTTTATTTTCTTCTTTCTTACAGATGCACTCACATGCTGTAGCGCCGAGTGGACGGGGAGGGGGGGTAGGATGATTCTCAGCACCCCTGACTGAGAGGGGACGAAATAATTATGGATGGATGGATGGACGGATAGATAGATGGACGGACCGATAATGGATGGATGGATGGATAGATAGATGGACTGATGGATGGATGATGGATGGATAGATGGATGATGGATGGATGATGATGGATGGGTGGATAGGTGGATGATGGATGGATAGATAGACGGACTGATGGATGGATGATGATGGATGGATGATGATGGATGGATGATGATGGATGGGTGGATAGGTGGATGATGGATGGATAGATAGACGGAC